CCCCCCCCCCCTTCTCTCTCTCTCTCGAGGGGCACAATTAAGTGGCCCGAAACAGACATTGCCTTTGCCCAACAATTACCCCATCACACAAGCAGTCCGCAACCCTCGAAGCGTACAGAGCGAGAACAGCAGAGCCATTGACAGCAGCAGGGCATGAATCGGTCACATACAAGCCACCATCCCTTCGACAAGTAGTCGACACTCTCCTAGAGGGTGGACATTGTGGAAAACGTGTTTATACCCTCGGCGTTGCGCTTCTTCACCAAGTTGGACACGGCCCTGAACCTGTAGTTTCAAAGTTCATGAAATGAGAGGGAGGTGGGAAGCAGCTCAGAAATCAAACCACCGCCGAGACGGACGCCAACCGGCGGCGAATCAACGTTAAGAGACCCACAGCGGGGTGTGCCGCAGGCGATGACCTCGTCAGGAATGGCGTACGTAACACGGCACGCCAGCGTCCGTTTCAACCCGTGCGGCGCAGCACAATTGGTTGCGATACAAGGCGTCGACCAACTCCTTGTAGAGACTTGCAGCGCGGTCCGAGACCGTCCCCGGCTTCGAGGTCATTGCAGTGTCCACGCGGAGCCCGCCCGGCAAACTACGCCAACGCTCCCCGCGGGGGCACATGCGGAATCTGTTTCCCTCTGAGGGTCATCAGTGACACGTGCAAGGCATTGGTACGTGTTACCGATGGCCGAAGGGAAAGCCAACTGGTAGCAGGTGGTGCATTCCGCAGTGCCTCCGCGGGAAGCGTCGGGGTAGTGTGCCAGGCGGGGTTCGGGCGTGACAACTCCACAGTGCTCTCAAAGACGAGGGTGCTCTCGGACCGCGCTGCAGGTTCCGCTACAGCATCACTGTTCCTCATTGACATCATAACCGGCCTCACCAAATACGCCGAATGCCTTCAGAGTGTGAGCGTTAAACATTGGCGCGGGATGCTGTGTGGTGATTGCTAAGGTTTTTAATCAACCCCAAGACTTTCCGGTTGATCGGGACCACAGCTGTAAGCAGCAACGTAGAGCACATTTGGCCCGCGAAAGAGGGTAAACATGGGCTTCCACTGCCGGCGTTCAGTTCGTATTTAGCGGGACGAAGATGTAAACTCACTTTTCGTTTTCGGCCGTGTGGAGGAGTTGGAAGGTCACTTGCTCCGCCGACGTCAAGAACGCCCCCGATTGCTGCATTCTTTGCAGCGCCACTGCTCGGTCGTGTGGTCTGTGGTTCAACGGCACCCGGCATCATAGAAGGCGATTGAGAATATGGCTGGCGGTATGCTCGCTTCTTCATACAGTCAACGGCAGAGACACCCATAGCAAGTCAAATCAGAGGCGATCCACAAGCTTCCAGATATCCCTGCTTCCGTGTTGGGAGGCACAACCAATTAACGTTTCCGTCAAACCTACGCACACGTCTGGGTAGATTCCGGGTGTACCGCTCGCTATTCCTTCCAACGTGCGCTGCTGTTGTTGTAGCAGCATTCTGTCTATGACTTGTGCGCTCGGGACTCACTTTTGGCTTGACACGCCATCGCAGACAACGTGGACTTCGTAGCCGAGGTCAAGCAAATCCAGGCACGTCTGCGAAGAACGGTGGTCATTGCATTTAATTGAAAACGTCAGAACTTTGTCCTGAATAATAAACTCCATTTCGCAGTGGGATCGGATGGGCAAGAGAGGTAATGCATGGTGGACAAGTCCTTAGGACGCGTACAACAAATTCTTCAGCTGAGGAGAGGAGATGGTAGACTTTGGACCATGTACGCAAGCACGCTCCGGTGACCATGCATACACCGGTGCCGCCCGCCAACTTTTTCGAAACATCCCTCACACGGTAGTTACGATTCTTCGAAGCGGGCCATCACTGTAGAGACCGCCAGGGCCAAATTCGCTCGGCAAACCGCAGTAGCAGCCACTGTACGCTACGACGGCCAAACAAATCCCCAACAAGCTCTGACCGTGGGTTAACAGCCGCGCTACGACTGGGAACCAAGAACCAGACCAACTGCGGCTTGGCGAAAGCTTACCCTGCCACAAAACAGGATTGTGGGTCTCCAGGCCATGCTATCGCTAGACAGGCCAAAGACCCGAAACACACAGCGGTGGACGCGCGCTTGCATTCATACCTGGGTGACACACACGTGAGCCTCGATGCCAAAGAGCACGGCGTCTTTCCTGTCCGGTAATTTCTTCAGTTCTTCCTCCACCTCTTTGGTGCACATTGAGAACAACTTCTTCTCAAAGATTGGGACCTGTCGCAAAACGCACAAGATAACGCGGCAGAAGTTTGTGTACGTGGCAAGGGTAATGTGACAGCGCGTTGGACGGCATGGATAAAAGGAACACGGAACAAAAATAACGCCACTAACAAAAAAAACGAACAGTCGGGGTAGGAGCACGACCGAAAGGCCAGCGGGTACGATATCACAAAAGCAAGCGGTCTGGGCTTACACGCCAAACCCATCCAAAGTGCCCGAGGCTCAATCGTTCCCGCATGATGAGTGCGTCAAAATCTTCCCAAAATATTCATACGAATGCCGACTGGAGCCCGGTTGGAGAAGCTATCGCCACGAAAAGAAACGGCACAAGCAGCCGCCCGAACAAGAAATAGGATCAAAGCCACCTTGTTCTCACATTGATTTGGTCGGGGCCATTGCCGACATTGAGTTCTGGGACCGTGTGCAACAGCGCCTTCGGAAACGAAAAACGAAGACGAAACGGGGCAAACACATCGTGTCGACGGCGGCAAGGAAATTAAGATTGGGTGAGGTTATTGATGTACACACCACGATTAATACATACGGTCGCCGTGATCTTCATCGCCTTCCGATAAAGAAAATGTACATATCATCAAAGAATGACTACCCGTTCGAGATAATAACCCGTTCGGTTCTTACCTTCTGTACCGGTCCCGGAAGAGCGCGTTGATTGCGGTGAACAGAATATCGTCGGGTGTTCGGATTCGTTCGTACGGCTGGCTGGTGCCAATATAGACCATATCGATGTTCTTCGACGAAATCCGGATGAAAGACAGGATCACCGTCCCATGTCCAATACCTCGGGCTCTCTGGCTAGGGTTCTGCTTCAGCAGCAGGGCCGTGTATAAGGCTCAAGACTACCACGATACACCGTACTCAGTCCACGTACAGACTTGGACAGGGTTGGTCCGCGTGTGTGTGCATCCACCCGGACCTTTCGGTGCGTTGACAACCGTTATAGATATTCAGTCACCTTCGGGTACTGCTCGGTTACGATGCACGGCACTTCCAGCTCTTGAGAGACGTCCAGCATGAACCTGCAAGATTAGTGGTGGTTTCATGGGAGGAAAAGGCATCAACGCGACATTGCGGGCGGAATGACCAAGGCGAGGTTAGAGGTTAGAGTTTACGGCTTGATGGACAGTCACTCGATACGCCGCACTTTGCACCCCTGGAGCAATCTGCGGCAAGATGGGCCGCGATCACACATCCGAGGCACAGCGTGTTTAAGTAGCATGTGCCATCGCTCGAGCATCAATACCGCTCTGCTGTCCGCCGGGGAAAAACGCTTCGAGCGCATTGACCCGTCAAAGGGCCATCCGGAACAAACGAGAGCAAACGAAATAACATGCACCGCCCCAAGCACCTCTACACGTAGCCAAGCACATACTTTGCAGTAGAGATGACCGCTGGCATGTTGTGGATGAGGTCGCGGAATCGCTCCTGGACGTCGCACGCGAAGAAGACCGTGCTGGAGGGAAGTATTTTCCCGAGGCGTCGCGAGGCCGTTGCCGCAGCCATTTCTACTGCTCCCACGTCTGAGGATGCTCTGGGCGAGGGCGGTAGCTGCAGCAGGAGTAGCGGAGAGTTTTTTTCTCTGCCGCCGTGTCTTTTCCAGATCGTACTGCTGCTGTTGTGTGCAGAGAGCGTGACGCTCAGGAAAAAACCACGAGCACTTACTGCAAAGAGTAACAGGTCACCGATCCGCATTCACAGGATACACACAGCAGCTGTAGAGAGAGAAAGTGCAGTGAGTGTGCAGCCATGTGATGCTGATGTGCAAGCGGCATGTGCAAGAGTGTTTGATCACCCCCACCTACCATTGCTGCGGGTTCCAGGCGCGGCGACCCGCCTCGAACTGATCCCGAACGGCCCACATGCATGAGGTCCTGCAGTTCTGCATCCAGGCGCATCACACCCGTGTATTGCCTGTGGCCGCCCTGCTTGCCCACTCTCCGCTCCCGGAAAAAATGTTCTGGTCCTGCTGCACCCGAGCTCCTAAGCAGGACCCTGACCAAGACCGAGTGGTGGACACGAAACACTTGTCCTGCCCGCGATGCCGTCGGTGAGGGCTGCTAGCCGGGCAAATAGTGCGACAGAACTTCTAATAATCCCTTGTTTGAATCTTCGTTTTTGACTTCTTTAATTTACCTCTCTGTCTTGCGCGGGAGTGCGCGCACGCTTGCCTCTCCTCCTCTCTTTTTGCCCCTGCGCTGGGGATGGATCCCTAACTCCGGTGATTGCTGCTGTTCTGTTCGTGACCAAGCGTTGCACGCACGGCCCCATGGTTGTGTCTCCTCAGCGGTCACGATTATGTGCCTTTTTTAGAAAGTGCCTTTTCGCCTCCCCCGCCCCTGTTCGCCGTGAAATCTTGAAGGTTGCTCATCGTCCCCAACGTCGACACTTTCAGGTGTCATTGCTCGCTGGTGTTCAGGTGAGATTGCAATGATGAGGAACACACCTCGAACCTTACCCAGTCTAGTGGCGATGGCATTGGAGGGGATTATGTTTACGGTTTTTCTGATTTGTATCTCAGTGAAGCATCAATGATGCCTGGTGCAACACAAAAAACAAATCTTTACTTTCGATCTTGTACTTCCGAACGTGGCATCAGGCTGCCTGCCCGGGCCGATTTTGATTACGCTGCCGTGTTCAATCCCTTTGGCGCGGAAGGTGCAATGGAGCTTGCCTGCGCCTACGGAGGTACCATGTAGAAGCCCCCCCCCTTTCAAGTATAGCTGCAGCAAACGTATTCAAAAATGTCCGGATATTCCGCCATGTTGCGCCGTGTTTGCCAGTCGACAGCACACACATGCCAATCATGGAGAGTGGCGGCAGCGGCAGTGGCACTTTTTCATCGACACACTTTTTTCAGTGGTTTTTACCGCAGAGACCTGATACCCACAGCAGTACAGTTTAGTCCTTTCTCCACCGACTGCTGTACAGGACTACACGGGCCTCTCCGGTTCGCAAATTATTCATGTGCGCGGGTTCTTGTTCGCAACAGGGTTTGGATAATTGAGATTTTTAGATCGTTGCGGGAAACAGGGAGGTGATCAAGCCGCTTCCACGCATGCTTTTTGGAGTTTTAATCGACACACGGATGACGTCTTGATTGCCAAACGCGCACGGGGGGGGGGAGAGTCGAACCAACGGGACAATCGGGGACACGACGTCCGTGTCCGTATGCATACCTAGGTTCGTGAAGAGAGGTGCGCAAGACAGCAGTAGCACATTCATTGCACCCTGCCACGCCCCATACCCCTGCCTGAGCTGCCTTGCCTTCCTCCTGTTTTTTTTTTTTTCTGAACGTACAATAAGCAACATGCATATTTTTCTTAAAACTACTGGGCATTCCATGCATAGCATACTGCAACAATTTCTTCCGAAAAACAAGTTCGGGATATACACAGGTCATAGATTGGATCTGAATTGATAGCGTTGTGGTCCTCGAGCACCTGGTTTATTCAGCCCTGCATTTCTACGTTTCCCGGAGCAGCATACGGCGATATCTCTCCTGTGGGTAAAAGACTCAGCAAAGAGTTTTGGTTTCCGCTTCAAAATCACCTACAGGCAACTTTAACACTAAGTAAGTCCGACAACCACGGAGAGAAGAACCCATGGGAGCACTAATAATGTACTATTGCCTGGGTTGACCACATAACCATCTGTCTGTGGCCTCAAAAGAAAGAAGGCACATGGACGAAACCGCGATCACACGGCCATTAGATAATGCAGCCGCGCCTTCCTTGTACCTGCCGCTGCGCCTGCCAAGAAACGCACAGCAAGCGGCCCGCACGTAGTATAGGAACTTGGGAGTTTCGAAAATCAGCCTCGAGAAATTGGGAACTTGGCCATGAGAGCAGGTACTCAAGTCAAGATGCCTACACTACCATTGAACTATGTAATCGCGGTACCCCATACGACAAAATGAGAAACGAGCCTCGACCCATTTATTAGAGCTAAGTACCCTTGAACCTAAATCGCTGCGTTTCGAACAGCAGTCCGATCGAAGTCGACTACAATAGCAACGCTGTACGCACGAGCAGGCAAGAGAGATTCACAAGCGGCGGGTACATGATGTCGTAGGGTCTGCGGCAAAGACGCTGCTAAATAGCCGCACCGCACACCCACGCTCACGCAAACGCGAAAAGTCACGGTGAGAAAAAAAAAAAAGTTTCTTTGCAACAAGACGATGCCCTATGTTCTCTTCTGCAATTTCTACCGAACGTTGAGATGCGACGGAGGCAAGTCACCAAACTCCCGTAGGAAAGCCTTTGCACGAATTCTAATTTTTTCACATCACGATGTGTGGAAACGCAGAATGATTTGCGGTCTACCATTGAGATCCGTCTCAGTGTAAACGCGTGGGACTGCTGATGAGGTGGCGAATGTAGCGAACCCGTGAAACTATCGCAGATAGGGTGGTTGTGGGCACCACATGTCAGTATACTTCGGCTTGGGGCACCTTATCTCGTGTCGGGCAAACACCCTTTTTACATGGTTGCGAATATTTATGACGACTCGACTCGCCGTCAGCCTTGAAGAAGCGACATGTAGCACACGAGAACGAGGCTTATGAATTCGCCTACTTTAGGCCATACAAACTTTTGGTGAACCTCACGATCATACCTGACAATCTACCACACCCCTCTGGCAGACGCATGAAAACATCCTCATCCAAGTACGACTGTACGAATGCTTGCTTGATGTCAAAATGGCGAAGAGAAAACGTTTGCTCACAGGCCATCGCATCCAATAAGCGAACGCTAGAACCCGCTAAAGTGGGTGCAAACCTTTCCCTACCACCAACATGTGCTTGCTGCATATCTCCTCTCGCCACTGCGGTAGCCTTGGCTTCACCTTGGTTGGCCATCCATACTTGTCAGCCTTGCACCTCTCAAAACTCAATTCACCTTGACGACGTTCTCTGGTTGCTAGTTTACTCCATCAAAAGTACGTGCATCTATCAGACCCTAAAAAATTTCACGCTCAATCAACCAACGCCTTCTTAGCTAGGAATAAGGCGTCGTTAGAGCGTGAGGTTGAGGGTCTGGTAGAGGCTGGTGCTTTTGAGGCGGTCAACTAGCATCCAGAAAGCGTCATTGAGGCTGAGTGGGTTTTGGCTGGGGCAGGAGAAATGCCTACAAGCGAAAGAGTCAACGAAAGTTGGCGTTTGGTACATGCATGTCAATCAATGAAAGGAGGGGTATTGTGGAGGTGAACTGTGGTCCCATCTCTCCAACGTCTGTTTGTATTGACGATCCCTTCTTCTTCTCACGCTGCTGTGCCGTATTGGTGATTTGCCCCCTTCCGTCATCCACGTCTGATCTCTGCTCATGCGTCCACAGCAAGGTGAGAGATTCTGTGGGAGGCACGATGCAGCTGTGCTTCAGCCTCAGCGAGCAGGAGCTTCACGGGCAGGGATATGGCCTGCCCCGAGAGCTGGTGGAACGGTTGCCTGTAACCGTCGGTGAGAGAAGGGGGGGGGGGGGGG